CAACTATCGAATGGTTTTATTCGAATAAAATCATTCATTCATTTGTATACTATAGCATATGTGACAACCTCGCCGTGCGACTAAATGGTTATCGTTGAACCACGACTATCTATCGAATGCTTTTGATAAATGAAATTTAGTATTCGTTTGATTTTTGTATGCGTCAGTGCATTATTAGTTCTTCCAAATTTTTATAACTTCGCCGTATAAATACTGTGCTATTTTTGCGTATTAAAATAGTTAAAATACTAAAATAGTAGTTATTTTTTAATTTTATTTATTGACGATTGTGTGCATGTGCAGGTGGTCAAAATTTTTCCGAAAATTTGTGTGGTTTTCCGTAGCCCGATCTTTCAATTATTTAATTTTATATGGTATATGGTCTATTTTTTAATGGGAAATTTTGAGAAGTAGCAATTTTTAAGAGAGATGAGATTAACTTACAATTAATTTTAAAAATACATATTTGTATTTTAGATGTTTTAATAATATGAATTAGTTGAACTTAATAATCATATTTAAGTAATGTGGTTAAGTAAATGGGGGGTTATCGAACTCAAACTATGGGGTGAGAAAATTAAAATGAAAGTTTTACACGTGCCAATTTAGAAAAAAAGTTAACGATGTTTGTATTTTGTTTATGCTAATTCTCTTACATGTAGTTTTTTGCGAAGAAATATTTCATTTATTTTTTAAAGTAAATGCCAGTAAAAGTAAATATAATTTTTAAATAGTAATATAAAGCACCTAATATAAATAATTTTGATTTCTAATTTTTTATTACACTGCATGCTTAGAAAATTAATAAATGTTTATATTTCATGATTTAAAAATTTGTTGTTAATATAACAAATTAGTTCTGTAATTATTATTATTTAATAAACCAACGTTGCCACACACAAAAAATTTAGAGACTATATTATTTTTAAATAGGATCTAATATAAATAATTTTGACATCTAATTTGTTGTTTATATTTTGCTACTACTTAAAAAAAATATTTATATTAAATGATTTTAAATTTTGTTGTTAATAGGTATAACAAATTATTACTGTTATTATTATTTATTAAACCAGTCTTTGCTTAAAAACATTAAAAATCATTTTCCTACATCCAAAATAACAAGTATTATTGCAGTGTGAACAACAGAATAATAATAAAAAAAATGCGGAATATATAGACATACTATCCCTAATTAACTAAAGCCAAACAATAATATTCTTTGCTAATATCAACTAATACCAAAATATGGCAACAGCGCCCTTCATAATGTATTTTCTGTGGAAATACTAGCATCTCAATAAAAAAAATAATGTGTCCTTATCTATATCTGACTCCGCAAAAAATCAAAGATGCCGGCTTCTTTCATAGCTTTCGGGTTTCTCGGAAAGACACCTACGTCGCCGGGCGACAACTAAAATTCAGTTAATATTTTATTATAATCGATCCTGACGAATAAATGAATTTCATAAATGAATGAATTTTATAAATGAATGGTTTTTGCTGCCGAATTACTAGAATACAATATTTCAAGGCAGATGACGGATTATAAACTGTAGTATATAGTTCACGCGCGTCCAGTGTAAAAGTATATATTGGTGTATTGTGGTGATTTAGTGTTTTTATTTTGCTATCAATAATAGCTACCTAAACTTTAGTTGACCTTGTATAGCCTGATATTTAATTATAGTAATTATTGTATGTTAAACCAAATTAAAATTTGACCAGAAAAGTTATACAGATTGAAACAAAATTAATATGGAACATTAGTCACTTTTAAAAGCAAGTTACTCTTTTATTTTAAATGAAACACCTATAACGTATATTATTTCTGTGTTCAATGGGGAATTCATATATTTTCAAAATATTATTAAAGTTGCCTACCCCCCAGACACTAGATATTTTACAGTAGATCTTTAGTGATATACCTTTTGTTAATTTAACAAAAAAAGTAGAGTAAAATACTTAACGGTAATAAAAATATACACCTTTAAAACATATTTTAATTATTACAGAATTAAAACTAGATATAAACCTATAATTATTCGACAAAAATTAGCTAGCTGAAATCAAATGCTCAAAATGTTTCCTTTCCTGTTAGTTGAATAAAATAATTGCCTTTTCAAAAGATCTTTTTATTTTAAAAGGCATATGTGGAGAACTACTTCGAAAAGCAGCTACAATCATTTTTCTGATGTTGTTTATCGACAATAGTTGGTCGAGTTTTGTAAACACTGTCTTTAACATGTCCCCATAAAAAAGCCCAGACTAGACAAAATCAGGAGCATTTAAGTATTCTATTAATTGGTGAATGCACACCTAGCTTCTGGCAGAGATGGTTTTAAATCCAGAAGTTGTTTTCTATCATGTTCAATTTTCTGGACTCTTAAAACCATCTATGCTAGAGGAACTGCCAACAAAAAATAATAATAATATGACTTTTCAATTATACTCACATTTCAAAAACAATAAACACTATTTTATAGGTGTGTTGATTAGGACAAAAAAAAGCTGCTTTTATTGCCAAAATTGTTGTAAGTCGTTATTGTTTTATTGAAAATCGAATATCTCCAACTTTAAAATGCTACTGAGATGAATCACAAACAAACTATCGAGAAAAGATTAATAAGTGTACTAACTAAAAGGAAAATATATCGATATTACAAGTTACATTAAAAAGAAAATTAACATTTTATAGTAAATTATCTTTAATTTTCAACATATTCAACATATGTCTCAGTTGCTGCGTATCTTGCAGCTATTTTTAATTAGTTTCAAACGGTACCTTCGTCGTCTTTTCCGTAACGTGGTGTTTGTTTAATTATTGTGGCTTTGCTGCAATCGCTTTGATACATGATACGGTTATTTTTGACAGGCTTTTTGATGTGTCGCTGTGCTAGGATATAGGTTATTTGAAGATAACATTTGGCTTGACTGAAATATTTTCGGATTTAGCCTATTTGTATTCGTATTTGTTTTCAAATATTGTGAAAAACATATATATTATTTTAAACAGATTATATTTCGTACCAATATTAGATATATTTTAAATACGTAGAAATAATAGATATTATTAGAACAATTTCCAGGCCGCACAATTTCCACACTGATTTAAAATGTTTCTGTATTTTTTTCTTCTGATTGATAAAATCTGCACATCTTTGTGTCTGGACCGTCAGTCCCATCAGTTTTAAGCCGGCCCCACACGATGTGGTAAACATATTCCAACGTTGGACACATGCCACATCGTGTAGGAAAGAATTGCAGTATTGTCGAAGCCTATGCCAAACGATGCGGCCAACGTTGTTTCCAAGCCACCTTATCTCGGTTAATTTTGATCTGAGCAAAAAAAGTATAGAGATCATTTCTATGTAAAATTTGACGCTCCACAACTTTTATTTGAACTTTTTTTCTGTCTAGTTTATTTGAACGTCTTTTTTAGATCTTTCAAAGTAACTTATATCAATAACTATATAATAAAACAACAAATATATCAAAAAATTATAAATTTCAATTAAGCTTGTTTTTAAATTCACCCCGAAAAGGGGTGAAAAATATAAATGAAGTGTTTTTTTTTCGAATTTCAGGGAAACTTTACTTTGAAACAAATGTTTCAATAAAAGCTGTCCCCCAGCTTCTAGCCACCCTATCTGGGTTAATTTTGATTTGAACAAAAAAAAAGTATAGAGACAATTTTTATGGAAAATTATACGCTCTATGTATGTACCAAACGGCTGGTTTGAAGTACATTGTATGTAACTCGATTTTTGCTTAGAATTGAAGAAAATATACAATAATAAACAGCGGGTTCCATTTAAAAAAAATAAACTTTGATGTGCCACGACTTTATGGCCGACCCTGTATACTTAAATGTATTACTCGCTAACAGACATTTAAAACACCTATAACTTTTATATTTAAGTTTTTGCGCTACCTCATATATTTTGCCTGATAATCGACCGTTTCCATACATATCAGCTACCCTGTATTGTGTGACCAACGGATCTGTAGCTACGGGGTATCGGCAGGGGAACGCAGTTGTAAATAAAACACGCCCAATTTCATTCATAAAATAGACATGGGCGTACGGTGTTTTATGAAAATAATGTGCATCATGAATATAATATTCAGATTAATTTTTTTTTCAAAAAAATTATGCTATAGTTTTATTTTATTATTGATTAGTGATTTGCTAAATATAGTTAAATTTGTTAGAAAGCGAGTAATAATTAAAATTTGCACAAATAAAGTTAAATTCTACGTTCACTTAAGCATAATGATTTTTCATATGAGATTTCATCTGACCAAGAAAATTTTAGAGAGAATAAATAGTTACAATCACCAATATAATAATATTATCACTAATATAATTTTATGTATTAATGTAAATTGAAAGGTATATCGTTGGTTGGTTGGTTGGTTGGTGGAAGTGCCGACCGCTTGACGAACTCTAATTAGCAGAATAATGATTGTCGTTTAAATACCACTTACTCTGAGACCCTATCCCTAGGTATGATAAAATTGAATTGTTAAGTGTTTATAGTCATTCGGTGGCATTGAGGTAACGGGTAACTTCCGCTCTGCTCTTCCCGGCATCATCTTCAAGATTTATGTGGCTGTAGCCTCCTGGGAAACGATAACGTAACCCAAAGCAAGGTTATGTCGTACCTACTTGCTATGTAGGTTAACTTGTCATATGTTTCTTTGACTATTCTGGAGGATATCCTGGATATCGTATATAATTTCAGCACCGACATGGCTAAACAGCCATGGCTGTCAGTGATTATCGCAGTTTTTCGCTCGTAAGACGTCTCCTCGCTCAGCCATTCGCAGGCCTTCCAAATGGCATGTATCTAATAAATATATATATTCCAATGAAAAGTATACAATAAATATGCCTATTATTTTAATTACCTATAAAAGTATAGCTCTAAATCTAGTATGGACAGACTAGCGTTACTTAATGTTGAACATCATCAACTTAGTGTGTAGTTAGTTACTTAGTGTTGTTCATCATCATCATCATTAGTATCGCTATCATCATCAGTCTCGCTATCGTCATCTTGCCCTAAATTTATTATGAGGGGTTCGACCTCTTCCATATGTTGGTCCGTTTCCCAAAATTTATTTTCTATGTTTTTCACATGTTGACAAAACCTCTTCCAATCATCAGGGGATATCAAAGACATTGCTCCTTTGGTGACTTCTTTTAAAACAGATAATGTGAAATTGCCCGTTGTGTTTTGGCTTCTTATTAAAAACTTTAATCTTGCCCAAGCTAATTCGATTGGGTTTAACTCACACATATAAGGAGGTGTTCTCAAAGGAGTATGCCCATGCTCTCTAATGATCCGGTCTACTACATAATTTTTTTGGTCATCGGGAGGCTTATGAAGTAATACCAGATCAAAGAGATCAAATTTTCTGGCATTTGCGTCATGGTTTATCCCTAGAAAAAAAATAAATGTGATGTTTTGTTCAGTTACATAAATATGTACCTTTCTTTGTTAACCAGGCAATTATATCTTTTTTTAAGGATGACCTTGTAGGAGTTTTATCCTCCTGGACGGAATGGTATGGAGCATTGTCAAGAACAATAACCGATTTGGCCGGTATATTTGGAAGGAGTTTTTCCGTAAGCCATCGAGTAAAATTCTCCTGGTTCATTTGGCCATGGTAATCGCCTGTTGCTAATCCAGCTTTAAATATTAAACAGGCATTTTCGACAAACCCATTTTCTGAGCCCGCATTGACAATAATAAGTCGACCTAACATATACAAGATACATACATATATTTTAATACTTGTTAGAAGTTTACTAATTTTTGTAACAATATAAAATATGTATTTAAAAATCAAGTGTTTTGGGATAAATCGTTGCTCTTGAGTTAGCAGATAAACACTAAAAGCTTTTATTAAAGTTCCCTTAAATATTTTGAATTATTTTATTATGTGTTGCGAATAGAAGAAACAATTATCAAAAATAGTCCAAGATCCAATTTTAGTTCAGAGGTATATTTCGTACTAACAATATTTTTTTTTCTGTAATACAATTTTAGACACTAACTATTTTCAGCAAAAAAAAATCTTGGAAATAGTTATCTTTGGAAGCGCGGACAAAACATAATTTTACTCACCAGTAGATCCAATATTGCCTATTACACCAGATATAGTATCGCTCTGCCAGCACTTTTTAAAAGTTAGGTCATTGTCTACCCATGTTTCATCCAAATAGATAATACTTCGGCCCTCTTGGCGATATTTTCGAATTTGGCGTATATATTTATATCTCCAGTGCAATATATTAGGTCTCTCCATTAAAATTTTTCTGTTATTTTGGCATTTACGCCAAAAAAATCCATTTGATTTTAATAACCCCCTAAGCGTTTCCCTGCCAAAAGGAAAATTCGACTCTTCCTGCAATTTTTGAAGAAGCCTTCTAATTGTAGGGACGACTTTGAATTCCAGATAAAATCTATTTATCAAATTCCTGACCACTTGGAAATCAAAGTCATCGAGCTTTTCAACAGCAGTCTCACGTGGTCGTTTCTTTCCAGGGCTGGATAACATTTGATTGGGGTTAGTTTCCAGCCTTTTTTTGTCTTCTGTGTGTATTTTTTTTATAGCCGCTACGCTAACTCCGGTATAAAGAGATATCCGCTCAAGTTTACGTTTAAGCGGCAACTTAAGCGAACTCTCTGTAGCTTCTTCGTCGCAAACCCTATTATAAACACAAGGAAATAAATCAAATGAGATTTCATCCACGTTTATTTATACAGGGCCCGGCAATAGTGCGTCGGGCATCTGTAGCTCCTAGAATTAAAAAAACTTGGGAATTTTGTTTAAGTACAGACCTAAAGTATGTACTAGGATGTATTTCAGGAAAATATTTTAATTCCTATAGAGTGGCTCAAAAAAGTGTGAGTGGATCAGAATGATTTTTTTAAACGGAACACCCTGTATATTATTGCATGTTTGGCTCTATCTTAGGATTATGTAAAGTGATATGAAAGGAAGCCAAAAATGCAACAATGTACAGGGTGTTCCATTTAAAAAGATCATATCGATCCACTCATATTTTTTGAGCCACCCTATAGAAGTTAAAATATTTTCCTGAAATACATCCCCGTACATACTTTAGATTTGCACTTAAACAAGATTCTAGAAGCTAAAGATGCCCGACACATTACTGCCGGATTTTATTTTAGCTTAGCTAAATTATTGTCGTAAAATATGTGATTTTCAATTTAGCCCCATATTTTATTTTAATATTCTAATAATTAGATTATTATTATTCTACTTACCTATATACATTAGCTACTATTTCTCTTGTTTGGCTATGTAGCGTCTTACCCTTAATAAATTTGTTCATTTTAAAAGACAAATATACGATTAAACTTAATATTAATAATTAAAAACTACGAACGAAAAACAATATAACAAGATAACAAAACAATAAAACACAACTTAACTATTAAATATATAGGATAACTGGTAGAAAATAATGAGAAAGTAATAATGATCAAAAGAATGACACCGCCACTGGATATTTCAATAGGAATCAATATTTGTACTCTTTTCAGAAGAGACCGTGAAGTTGGGGATTACCCTAGCCAATAGGAAAGGCGTCAAAGCCATGGAAACCGCGTGGTAACAAATCCTGTGACGTACTCTTACCAATGATGTTCGATGAATAGGCGGCCATGCGCGGTGATGCCGGCTTGCCGATTATAACCTTGGAAAATCTTCAACTTTCAAAAAAAGCAGATTATACAGAATGAAAGAAATAAGTTATTAAATAAAACAGATCGAACAATATGCACTACGTTACAATTCCTTAGTAATATACGTAAAAATATATGCTGAACACATTATATATATTAAAAATATATTAAATTTATAGTTCATGTCTGGCAATTTTGCAATTTTATAGATAAACGTGGCAATATCGATTTTTTTTTCTCGCATTCCTTCCGTAGCTTCAGATCCGCTGGTCAAACAATATAAGTATGTGTATACAGGGTGTTCCTTAATAACATGCTAATATTTAAGGGCGTGATTCTTGGGCCTATTCTAAAGAAAAACTATGTATGTAAACTATGTACCTATAGGGAAATTAAAACAACTTTCATTGCACGTCATCAATGACACCATGTGTCGTCTTATGAAGTTTGCTTAGTCGTATTGAGGTCGTATTATGATGTGCAACGAAAGCTATTTTAATTTCCGTATATGTAAACTGTATGCCCTAAACAGCTTAATTTCTGAGAGGGTGGGAAATTTTTCTAAAAAAACTTTTTTTCATTATAATTCTGATTTTATTACAGATATCTTTATGAAACTTCATACACGTCTTCTTTGCATCAAAATATCTTTTTTGGTGGACAAAGAATTTTAATTATTTCAACCAGTGCCGTCGATACGGGTTTTACATTGAATATTTTTGGAGAAAAAAGTGGTACACCACTAACTTCTCTTAAAATAAAAATTATTTTTAAAATCTCCATTCATTTCTAAACATTTTTTTGTCTCTTGATGTTTTTTCGTTCGGCGCACAGTTTTGGTTAAAAAAATTAAAGTCGGTTTATTTGAGGGTAAAATCGCTAAAATTATGATGCGATGACTGTTATGTGGAAATAATTTCTCCATCGGCTGGAAGGAAATTAAGAATTGACCAGTGGCGGCTCGTGGTCATTATTGTAGGGAGGTCAATATCTAAAAATATTGCGTCGATCTTTTTTAAGACGCGCCCTCGGACGCGCCCAAATTTAATTGGTCTCTTACAAGGTACTTGTACGTTTAGTTAAAGGAGTATAAATCTAAAAATAAATATAAATTCTGTTGAAATGAAATCTACTCTTACATTTTTAAACAGGTGGTCTAGTGCCATTTAACTAAAAATCCAGTCAATGTTCTTTATACAAATTTTCCACGGTGGGATTTAAAAGACACTTAAATAATAATGTCACAAAAATATTGATACTTATATACACATACACAATTCTAAAAGTTTTATTTCGCATTTTTTTATATTTTAAGTCAATGCGGCATTCTTTCTCTAAACGTTTTTCAAAATTTAAGCAATTGTTTTCTTTTAACCGCACGATTTCACGAAATAAGCACCATGTTGTCTATTTTAAAATATCTATTCCAAAATCAATCAACAACAGTTCATCATTTATCCATAACCAGAAAATTATGAATTATTACCAATACCAACACAAATTTTGCACTACACCTCAAACACTCGGCTACGATAAAGCGGGAGACGGAATTTCTTTCGATATTAAAAATTTAAATATTGCTTTATATTGGCTAAACGACTAAACAAAACATTATACCACAGTTTAAAGAATATATAGGTACTAATATAGTATATATTCTTTAAACTGTGATTTTACGCCGATAAACGATACAAAAACCTAGGTTGTTTTATAATATGAGTTTTTATAAACACACAAACTGCCCAAACGGCGAAATTTTTCCAGCCATATGACTGAAATCCTTTGGCCAATCCTTGAATGGCCAATATAAACTCTATCTATCGCACCTTAACCCCCTGTTATTTTCTATACGTAGTATACCTTATCTTGTTGGCGTCACGAGTCGCGGCATTTGGAGTTTAATACGTGCAAAACATAGCGGGTACGAAGGACAAAATGAAATTTTGAGCGGCAGTAGAGAAAATGGGTAAAATAAAACGTTTTCAAGCAAAAATTGGACATATTTTTGAGAATAGTTTTGAATATCTTAGGATGGGGGGAAAAAGTGATTTACAAAAAGTATAATTTAAATAGGTATTTTCTGATTTTTTGGGAGGGCATCAGGGGTGGATGGGCCATATGGGAAAACGGGAAAATTCCCGGTGGGCCGGTGGAAAGATGGGCCGGTGGACCGGTCCCGATCAGAACTCAAAAAAAGATTGATTTAGTTAAAATTAAATGGTTAATCTTCTAACTAAAATTACGTAAGATTCTAGTGACTGCCTAACTAACTAATCAGTTTGCATCAATATAATGGTTAGTTGCTTTTAAACATAAACATCAATTTTTAAAATAACTAGGTATTGTTAGATGTTTTCCTCTGAGACACTTATAACTTTAATAAACATCTAATAATTTTGTTTGTTGTTCCATTTGAAATGATTTTTTTGTTTGCTTTCTGCAAATATTTTCAGGGCTGGTAGATATGAATAAAAAAACATACTATATTCTCTTTGCCGTGTTTCAAATAAGTCCAAAATAACCGAGTTATTAAAGTTTGAATTCAAAAATGATTTATTACTGATTTTTTAAAAAAAATTTGCCGCCTAAATCTTTCTGTATTTGCATCACTTTTTGTGCCGTAATATCAAAGATTAAGAAACTATACCGTGGGAAAATTTGCAGTGAACAGGAAGTTTTAAAAATTTTTCTAAAATATACAGGAAAATTTAAAAGAAAAAGCACGATTTTCAACATCTTTTTTTTAAAAAAAAAACTCATAGACGTGTCCTGGCACCTGGTGGTGACATAATATACCACACCTGAAAATATTTGCGCTTATTTAAGACTCATTCTGTATAGTTTTACCAATATTCTTTTATTAAAACACATTTATATCCACTGCTTAGGTATTGCCTAGGTTTTTTTCGTTTGAGTCATGACATTATCATACAAGATGCCAAATGTAGAAACTAGGAAAAGTTACGTGATGAGAATTATACCAAAATTAAGACACGTATACATGACGAGGCTGCTGCTGTACCAGAAAAAAGAGACTTTTTAAG